TGCCTGCCAGGTTTAGGGAAGCTGGGAAGCCCAGTGAGGTAGATGGGCCGTGATGCCCAGGACTCAGTCCATCTCTGTCCCTCACCTGCCCTCTCACTCCCCCTCAGGCCTGGGGTTCAGCATTGCAGGGGGCATCGGCAACCAGCACATCCCTGGGGACAACAGCATCTACATCACCAAGATCATCGAGGGAGGTGCTGCCCAGAAGGACGGCCGCCTGCAGATCGGGGACCGGCTGCTTGCGGTAAGCCCCATGGCCACAGCCAGCTCTGAGGTGAAGCTGGGCAGGCTCTGCTGTGCTGCAGTGTTGGTCCTGAGCCCCTCCTGTCGGCAGCCTCACGCCCTTTCCCTGGGGTCCCTGCTGGGATGGTGCTGTGGGAGAGACAGGTGCAGGCAGGAGGGCCAAACCCGAGGACCTGGGACCCTGTCTCTGTAGCTACTGCAGCACCTACGCTGTGGGAAACCACTCTGCTCCTGCAGGGCTGCACTGGTCCCTGCCCTCCTGCCTGCAGCCTTGTCACCCAGCCCTTTCCCTCTGGCAGGTGAATAACACGAACCTGCAGGACGTGCGGCACGAGGAGGCAGTGGCCGCCCTGAAGAACACCTCTGACATGGTGTACCTGAAAGTGGCCAAGCCTGGCAACATCCACCTCAACGACATGTACGCGCCCCCCGACTACGCCAGCAGTACGTATGCCGCTGGGGCGGCAGCTGGGCACGTGGGGCTGTGGGGATGGAGCTTCTTGGGGTGATGAGCAATGTTGGCTTGGTCTCCATGTCCTCTCTGTGGATGGATTTCTGCTCCTGATGACCTTCTTCTCCCCTGCAGCCTTCTCAGCCTTGGCTGACAACCACATAAGCCATAACTCCAGTCTGGGCTACCTGGGCAGTGTTGAGAGCAAGCCTGCCTATCCCATCCCTCCCCAGGTGACTCCATCCCGGTACTCGCCTATCCCTCGGCACATGATTGGGGACGAGGACTTCACCAGGTGAGTACCAGGCATGAGCATCCCTAATCCCTGCTGCTTCTCGTTCCCTCTCCTTCTCTCTGTGGCTGCTTGACCTCATCCCCACTGCCAGTACAGAGCCTTGTCTGAAAGCTCATTTGTAGGTGCATGGTGCAAAGCTTGAGGCCTTCACAGTGAGCTCTGTGCTAACCCCCCCCCAGAGACCAGCCCTGCTGTGTCAGTCCCTGGCTCACTGCATCCACCCCTTCCTCATTCCCCCTCCTGCTCTTTCACGAGTTTTACACATTGCATTTCAGCTTTGTTCTCTTGCTTGTTTTACAATACCTGGAATACAAGGTGATCCTTGTCCTTAAGGTGCCATCCAGTGCCAGCAGCACCACAGGCTCACAGGATGTCCTCAAGTGAAGCTGTGCCAGGGGTGAAGGGCCGGGGGCAGCACAGCCTTGCAAACAAGTAGGGCTCCTCCACCCATCCTCCCTGAGACCGACATCCCAAACCATCTGACCCAAGTGCCATTTCAGTGGCTGCCCACCCCAGGCTTCAGAGCCTCCTGCCCAGCCCTGGCACAGCTCCCCTTGCCTCACTAATATAATTTATGTTGCATGAGCAGGTTTGTTTTCTAAACCCAGGAAATTCAGAGGCACACAAAGAAGATACCACTTTGAGCCTAAATGTGGTATAGAACTTCTTCAAAGCTTCTAGTCGAGGATAGGAGAGCAAGTCCTGATGGGTCCTGCTCTACTTGCCCAGGCTTACAACTTCCCCTCTGTTTGCCACAGGGGCAGTGGCCTCAGGGCCACTGTTGAGCCTTCTCTAGATTTGGTATCCCCAGGGCCAGGACTGTAGGGCTTAGGATGTATTCTAAGGACTAACACTTGAGTTAGGCTTGAATAGGCTCTGCTATTAGGGACAAGGTCGCAGGCTGGTTTTGTGCTTATAGTGGAAGATGCGATAGCTTTGTCTGGGATTCTGCAGGTCAGTGGTGGATGCTGGAGTGTGAGACTTTGACTTGCCATCTGCTGTCAGATCTGCTATCCGGGAGCATGGAGATTTCTTGCTTCTTGGTGCTCAGCCACAGCTCGGTGCCTCTGCACACCATGATCTGTGCAGCACTGCCTTCCACCCGTGCCCCATCTCTCCCACCTGGTCTCAGCACCAACAATGCTGGTTCTACAGCCTGTTTCTGGTACTGCATCCCCACCAGGTGTAGCAACTCCTCTGCTGTCAGGGCTCAGGCTGGAGCAATGCTTTCTTCCATTACATTGCACCACAGAAGGGACTGAGTGGTGCAATGTAATGGAAGGGACCCTGGTCCCACCAGAGTGTCCCTTCTTACATGTATCAATGTTCTTATTTGTGGGCTAGAGAGCAGCCCAGCGTCGGCTGGACATGGCCAGTGACAACAGCACAGCAATGGCTTGGCAGTGGCAATGGCCTGGCAGTGGCTCAGTGGTGGCACAGCAGTGGCTCAGTGTTCGCTCAGCAGTGGCTCGGCAGGGGCTTGGCAGTGGTAATGGCATGGTGATGGCTCAGCAGTAGCCCTCGTGCAGCACGTGTTGGTGGCCACTAGAGGATGGTGCTGCCTTGTGGAGGGCCCCAGTGCAGACAGGCTGGCGTCACTGTGCCCAGTCACAGCCAGCTGCTCCCCAACAGCTTCTAAGCCTGTGGTGGGCTCAGCACCTTCCTCATCCATCCAGGAACAGTGCTGAAAGCCTGATGTGCATCACCGATCCCCTAGGACAGCTTCATCGCTAAAGGTCTGGCTTGTGCTTCACCAATATTGTGCACTGGGACCAGTGTGGTCCAAATGCAATTTCCTGGTGTGGGGAAAGGCAGCAGCTCCCCTGAAAAAGCAGCTGTCTCCCATGAGGCTCCTGCCAGTCATTTCCTAGTAAAAGCAGAGGTCCAGGTATCCAGCTTCTTCCTTTCCCATAGGCACAAGTGCTGCTTAGTTGTGGACATGGCTCAAGTGAGCCTTGTGTTCTGCAGCACTCAGGGCTGGGGACCAGAGAATGTGTTTTCCAGTGAGTTCCACCACTGCAACCCAGACCCAGCACAGCCCCACAGGATCCCTGCAGCTGCTCTGTGCTGAGGTCCCAGTGTTAATGCTGTGACATTCAGCATGGGATCTGCCTGCAGGATCCATGTCCTGCCTCCCAGGATGAGGATGGAAGCCAAGAGTGCATGGCATGACTGAGACCTGTGATCTACCTGTGTGAGGCTTCATTTCCTCTCTTACTTCCTGTAGCGTCTCTCTATATTCCACCAAACTGTCTGGTCCTCACGGATGCTGAGGATGCTTTCCCCCAGACCAAGCTGGGGTGGTGGTTCCTCCACACTGCTTGGGCAGCAGCAAAACCCAAGGAGCAGAGCAAGTTCATCTCCTGGTTGGAAGCAGAGTTTGCAGACTCAGAAATCTGACCTGTTTCTTACCCTGGGAGAACTCTAGCCCTAGGCACACCTTTGCTGCAGAGGGACTGATGCCTACAGCCCTCCCTGCCCTCTCACAACTGCCCCTGAGACAAGAACTGGTGGCATCTTGAGGACTTGGATTGAGCATCTTTTGACCCCAACGGCATTTCCATGGTGTTTCCCTGATCTCCTCCTGGTCCTGGTGCATCTCAGCCCCGTGCTATGGTTCAGCTGGGTCCTGAGCACTGCTTAGGTCAGAGCTCAAATGCATCCAAAAACCATAAGGTATTTTGTGAAGGTTCCAAGGCAGATTCAGCCTCTGCACCATCAGAAATGTGTAGCTGGAGTTAAGACTATGCCATGCCTCTGCATTTGAAGGCAAATGGCTGCAGCCTTGCAGTGTGTGTGTCTGGAGCTGCAGACATGGGGAGCCAGGCTGTGAATTTGCCCTCTCTTGGGTGCTCCCCTGAGTTGTGACCCTGCTGCCCATGCTTGCAGGGGCAGGAAGAAGCTAAGTCTGCAGGGACTAGCAGAGCAAAGGCTGCATTCTTTCAGCACTTCCAGAAAAAGACATGTATGGGTCAGGGAAGCCAGTGGCCTAGCTGCTGGCAAGAAGGAGAGACAGGCATCATGGGGCAGTCATTGCACAGAGCATTCAGAACATTCCTGCCTCTCATGCCTGCTGGCTGGCGCTGCCAGCAATCTGCCACACCACAGTGTTCACCATCAATGTCTTGTCATCCACGTCCTACAGGGGACAGCTGGCCCTGTCCCCTTCCAGGCAGCAACAAAGCCACAGGAGCAAGTGTGACTAGAGAGAGTACAGGGATGCTGTGCCTGGTGGAAGGCATGAGGACAGGAAGAGGAGTGGCTCAGGGAGCTAGGAGAGTTGGACTGTGCTGAGCCCAGGGTCTAGGTAGGGCAGGAGCCAAAGACTTTCTTGCAAGGCACTCTGCACTTCTGTCTATCTGTCTCCTGTTCCTATTGCTCCTTATGAGGTGGTTGCCTGGAGCTAAGTGACAGTTCAGCCCATCAGGACTCCCTCACGGGGAAGGATGGTGGGAGACTTTGCCTGGGATGCTGGCATTTGTCCCTGGAGGTAAATGCTGCTGCCTGCATCCATTAAAGCACCAAAACCTTCCCCATCTGCCTAAGTGATGGCAGTGATGCTCCAGCCTGGCCTGAGGGACTGAAGAAGGGTGACCTGGGAGCATGCTGCCAGATTGCAGGACTTTGTGCTGTCTGCTCAGCCAAACTTTATTCCCCTAGGTTCCCGCTCCACTTGTGCCACCTAAGCCCCATTCCTTCCCCATCTGTTGGCAGTCAGGCAAGGCAGCTGGGCCAGCTCTCCCACCCCAACTCCAGTACCCCAGAATCCCCTTAACACAAGGCTGACAGCATTTTAGGGTCTACTGTGGATGCCCTTAGTCATTGCTGTGCCTGGGGCTCCAGCATCTCTCCCACTGCATCCCAGAGATCTCCATCTGATATCTGGCAGATGCAGGTTGATCAGGCTGCTGAGCTCACTGGCAGGTCCTCGGTCGTTGCAGTACCTGAGGAAGTGCCCAGAATCCAGCCGGTCACCACGGCACGTGCACTGATGGTCCCCAGTGTCATGTTGTCTGACAATCACCACCAGCCTGTGCTAATTGTCTGGCATCATTTATTCTTTCTTATTTTAATCCAGAGCTTGGGCTGGGAGCTGCCATTGTTCCCATCAGATGGGATTTTTCTCTCAGATGAAAATTGATGCAGTTTTGCAATGCCAGGCAGTCTTTCTGCCTTTGCCTGTTTGAGCTGTGAAAGAATTAAGTCATCACTGAAAAATTTAGGACTTCTGTTGAGCTGTGCAGGGTCTGTGGCATGGGGGGGGCATGGGGTTGTAGGCAAGCCTGCCATGCTGTGGAGGAGATTGATGCCACTCTCGTGGCATGGCCACGCTGTCCTTTATGCCAAGGCTCGCATGCCACCATGCAGTCCAGTGTTTCTGTGTGTGATTTCACGGTGGATACTCTGTCGCTGTCCATGCTCTGTTTCATGTCACACTGCACACACCTCTTCTTCTGTGCTGAGGGCTGAGTCACGACAGGCTGCACTTGGATGACTCTGGCCCCACTGATGTGCTGGGAAGCCCAGGCACAGCCAAGCCTGTCACCAGCTTTGCTGCTCCTCACTCTGATGCCTCCCTGTCCTATATCCTTACAGGGAGCCCCGGAAAATCATCCTGCACAAAGGCTCCACTGGCCTGGGCTTCAACATTGTTGGAGGAGAAGATGGCGAGGGCATCTTTGTGTCCTTCATCCTGGCTGGAGGCCCTGCTGACCTCAGTGGGGAGCTGCGGAGGGGAGACCGCATCCTCTCGGTGAGTTGGTGAGACACCCACTGCCCCTCCATGGCCTCAGGCAGCCCCGGGTGGACACCCACAGGACACCTGTCCCCTGCCACTACACAGTTCCGTATGATGCATCCCCAGAGCCGGTGTAGACATGGCCCCAGGATGCCTGTGGTGGAGGGCAGCCCTGATGCTCGGGCTGGCCAGGGGCAGGTACCAGGGATGCTGGTACTGGAGATGCTGGTACTGGAAGTGGCAGTACCAGGCACGGTACTGGGGACACAGTGGCAGGGTGATGAGGCTGAGAGTGTGGTACCGTGAGTGCCGGTACAGGGGCGGGGCAGTGGGGCCGAGGCACGGGGTAGACCCGTCGATTCGTGCCGTCGGTCAGCGGAGATGCTCTGCCCTGGCAGGTGAACGGCGTGAACCTCCGC